AGGCTAAACATAACTACTTTATCACTAATATTGAGGCTGCACGAAAAGATCCAAGGAAAACTTGGAGACTAGTCAACGATCTGAACTCTCGTAAAGTGAGTGATGTAACCAGTGTCAAGAAAGTCAATCTTGACGGTAATGAAATCACTAATGCGGCTGAAATTTCGGATGCCTTTAATTCATATTTCACCTCGATAGGAGAGAAACTTGCGAACAAAATACCTAGCTCGAATGTTAATCCCGTTTCTTATATTCAATCCACACATAGTGTATTTTCTTTCGAGGAAATTGGTTTGTCCACTGTAAATTGTTTGCTAAAAACGATTAATGCTAACAAAGCGACCGGCCCTGATAAAATCCCAGGTAGATTATTGAAAATAGCCGCTGATATTCTTTCCCCCTCGTTAACCAGAATTTTTAATAGATCGCTTTCTATGGGGATTTATCCGACTGATTGGAAAATGACAAAAGTCTTACCGTTATTCAAAAATGGCGACAAATGTGATCTAAGTAATTATCGTCCAATTTCAATTATATCGGCGGTTGCCAAAGTTTTTGGTAGAACCGTTTATGACCAATTTTACTCCTATCTGACAAGTAACAACTTACTGTCTAACTATCAGTCAGGGTTTCGAGCATCATATAGTACCGTTACAGCTTTATTAGAGTCGAGTAATAACTGGTGCGTAAATATTGATAAGGGTTTGCTTAACGGAGTGATCTTCATTGACCTAAAGAAAGCTTTCGATACAATTGATCACGAAATTCTTATACGTAAACTCAAGTGTTATGGTGTGGATGACAATGCGCTATCGTGGTTTAATTCCTATTTAAACAATCGAAACCAGAAATGCTACGTAAATGGCAAACTCTCTGGTAGTCGTTCTATCTCCCATGGAGTTCCGCAAGGCTCTATTATAGGCCCACTTCTGTTTTTGATCTATATCAATGACTTGCCTAACTGCTTGAACGAGGGTTTACCTAGAATGTATGCTGATGATACGATCATCAGCATGCAAAGTAATAATCTTTCTGAGCTAGAAAATCTTATGAATGCTGAAATAGCCAATTTAAACACATGGCTAGAGGCAAATAAGTTAAGTTTAAATATTGCCAAGACTGAATTTATGATTATTGGATCTCGTCAAAGACTTTTAACCTTTGATAATCAGAATGTGGAAGTATGTGTTAACAATAAACAGATTAATAGAGTGCTGAAGTCTAAGTCATTAGGTTTAACAATTGATGAGAACTTGACTTGGAAATATCATGTTGATAATATCACCAAAAAAGTCTCTTCGGGTATCGGCGCTCTCAAACGAATGAGAGATTTTATTACCACAGAAACTGCAATTCGAGTTTACTAAAGTTTGGTGGAGCCCTATTTTTCCTATTGTGCCCCTGTTTGGGATGGCCTAGGTAAAAAGCAAAGCGAAAAATTACAAAAATTACAGAATAGGGCCGCCCGTGTTATTACCCGTTCATCTTATGATATTTCATCAAGTTCTCTTCTTGGAGAACTTAATTGGGAATCATTGTCCACTAAGCGATTAAAGCAAAAGGCAATCCTCATGTTTAATACTATTAATAAACATACACCATTCTATTTACAAGAGATGTTTTCTCCTAGTGAGAGTGTTTATAACCTGAGAGATTCTTATGGTAAACTTTATGTCCCAAAACCACGCACAGATTATTTGAAACGCTCCTTCAGTTACAGTGGAGCCTCTTTATGGAATGGCCTGCCAGAATCTCTTAGATCAGTAACCTCTCTCGCTGCATTTAAGACAGGTTTAGAAGCCTTCTTAATAAATAATCGATCTGACTCCCACACGGCAATCAGGTAGAACAGTATCTATATTTCTTTTTGCTCCTTTTAAAATATTTTAATATTTTTGTAAATAACTATACTGATGATTTTCCGTGTTTAAATAAAGTTGATGTATGTATGTATGTAATATAACAATTGAAAATCAAAATTTTCAAAATGGCGGCTAGTCGTTTTGTTGAAGTTATATAGTGATAAAGAAATAAGAGAAATTAAAATGAATTCAGACCAGAAAAACACAAAAAAAAACTTGTGCAAAAATTATACTAAAACAATTATTCGCCTCAGGCTCGGTGATTATCGGGGAACATTCACCTCGACTTTGTGATTGTCCCAACGATAATCACCTCGCCTTCGGCGAATAATTGTTAATTATTCAACATCTGTTTATATTTTCATGCTTCTACAGCATAATAAATTAACAAGATACAACAATCAGGCTAATTTGCAATTAAAAAGAACATAAAATGAAAGAATTCAAAGAAAGGTTTTTATTAAAGTGTTTATAACTCAGCCATATGTGCGCATGCGCAGACTGGACTGTACCCTATCTCTGCATGTAATATGTAAATTATTTTGCAAATGTGCATGGGTAGCCTTGCATGCGTTCTTACAATCTGTTGCGTACTTTCCCTTTTCGGAACTAGCTGTTATTATTCCTAATAAATCTGTTATATGTAAACTATTAAAATTAAACTAAACTAAACACTTTTCTTTAGATTTATTGCATAAAAAGTGTGAAATGTTAATTTTATCATCATTCCCAGTATTTGCCGATAAATAGCTAGAGAAAAACAGAATGCATTACAGAAAATCACAACAGACTATGAAGCTGAACTATAATTTGTATAATTGGCTAATATGACATCACAGCCACCGTGTTGGTGTTCGATCCGATTCAAAAGAATTTTGATCAGACTTTTGATCACTCAGAGCAGAATTTTGTATATAAAGTTCAGCCTGGGTATAGTTTAGAAGGATTTGTAAGAAATGGTTGGTAGAACCGACGGGAACTAAATCAACTAATTCAATGCCCAAAACACTGAGTCAGTTCATTCAAACATTTCTTACAAATCCATCAAAATTCTTAGAATTATTTCTAATATTGATAGCGCAATATTAACAAGCTTAATAATTAATATACTATTACTATATGATACGAAATAGATGATACACAACATACTCAAGTCATTGTGTAAAAATAATGTAATAGTAGAAACAAACAACCAAATAAATACCTTCGACATTTGACTGACTGAGTATCTACCAACCTCGTTCCCAGGGTATTTAGAGTATCTACTGGTTTTCAATATTTTGAAAAATATCCATTTCAGAGAAAAGTACAAGTTGATTACAGTAGTTGATGCAAATGGGTAATGTTTGATGAAAACGAACAATAACGAATATAAAGGGACCGTGAATGCAACGGGAAACAATGATGACATTAATAGTCTCCTTCCCAGAGTGTGCCTATTCGCGGGTTATGTAGTGGCCTGCCCAGCCACTACATAACCCGCGAACAGGCATACTCTGGAAACGAGATTGGAAACGACTATTGGAAACGAGATTGGAAACCAGATTGGAAACGAGATTGGAAACGAGATTGGAATATAATATGGTCACATGCAGTTTAGGCTCGATCCAGCCGGTGGGTCTCTGGTTGTAAGTCGGTTTATGACGAAACATTTTTTGAGATAAGCCCGAAACTTTGGTCAACATGTTCTAAGGGGTTAGAATTCTCCCGTGCCAAAACTTTCTGCATCAATATGCGTTTTGAACCTTTCTTACTCGGTCTATGACGAAAAATTTTTTTCGATCAGGCCGAAATTTTCTAAGTCAAACTTTGGTCGAAATTTTCTAAGGCAACGGGCAAGTGTAGTGGAATCTATACTTAAAGGACGGGCAAGGAGCTTGTACTCAGAAAATCATCTCAAAATGTGCTTTAAAATTCTCCTGAGACAAAACTTTCCGCATCATTATGCGTTTTGAACATTTCTGAGTCTGTCTACGACGTAAAATTTTTTTCGATCAGCCCGAAATTTAGTTGACTCAAGAATCCGGGCAACGGGCAAGCGTAGTAGAATCTATATTAAAGGACGGGCAAGGATTAATTTGCATACAGCTTGTACTCGGAAAGCCTTGTGTCAAAATGTGCCTTAAAACTTTCCTGAGCCAAAACTATCTGCATCAATATGCGTTTTGAACCTTTCTTAGTCGGCTAAGGATGACGAGGGATGAACAAGGATGAAGAGCTCTGAAGAGAATTCTTCTGTAGGGTGAAATCGAAAAAATCTACATACGGCTAGTATAACGCAAAACAGCCAGTATTGAAGTACCGCAATTTTTTAGCTGTTTACATCGTTGCCTTCATGGTTATATGGTAAAAACTGAGGCCATCATTAGCGAAAGTTGTGGACCGTTCCCAGGTAAAACTCTCGAAACTTTTCGTATAATTTTTTCTTTATTCTTTTTGCCATTATTTTTCCAAAAAAGTCTCTAAAACGCTCCTCCAAACAGCTGAAAACTCATATTTTGAGAATTTTTTGTATGTTAGAACAATTCTGAGTCGATTTAACCAAGGATGACGAGAGATGAACAGGATGAAGAGCTCTGAAGAATTCTTCTGTAGGAATTGAAATCAAAGAAAAAATCTATACAAGCTAGTATAACATAAAACAGCAGTGTTGAGTACCGCAATTTTTAGCTGTTTACGTCGTTGCTCATGGTTATATATGGTAAAACTGAGGGCCAAGACCATTAGCGAAGTTGTGAGGACGTTTCAGGTAAAACTCTCAAACTTTTCGTATAATTTTTTCTTTATTTCTTTTTGCCATTATTTTTCCAAAAAAGTCTCTAAATCGCTCCTCCAAACAGCTGAAAACTCATATTTTGAGAATTTTTTGTATGTTAGAACAATTCTGAGTTGATTTAACCAAGGATGACGAGAGATGAACAAGGATGAAGAGCTCTGAAGAGAATTCTTCTGTAGGGTGAAATCGAAAATATCTACATACGGCTAGTATAACGCAAAACAGCGAGTATTCAAGTACTGCAATTTTTTAGCTGTTTACATCATTGCCTTCATGGTATAGTGGTAAAGACTGTGGCCATCATGAGCGAAAATTGTGGACCGTTCCGAGGTAAAACTCTCGAAACTTTTCGTATAATTTTTTCTTTATTCTTTTTGCCATTATTTTTCCAAAAAAGTCTCTAAATCGCTCCTCCAAACAGCTGAAAACTCATATTTTGAGTTTTTTTTGTATATTACAACAATTCTGAGTCGATTTAACCAAGGATGACGAGAGATGAACAAGGATGAAGAGCTCTGAAGAGAATTCTTCTGTAGGGTGAAATCGAAAATATCTACATACGGCTAGTATAACGCAAAACAGCGAGTATTCAAGTACTGCAATTTTTTAGCTGTTTACATGATTGCCTTCATGGTATAGTGGTAAAGACTGTGGCCTTCATGAGCGAAAGTTGTGGACCGTTCCCAGGTAAAACTTTCGTATAATTTTTTCTTTATTTCTTTTTGCCATTATTTTTCCAAAAAAGTCTCTAAATCGCTCCTCCAAACAGCTCAAAACTCATATTTTGAGAATTTTTTGTATGTTAGAACAATTCTGAGTCGATTTAACCAAGGATGACGAGAGATGAACAAGGACGAAGAGCTCTGAAGAGAATTCTTCTGTAAGGTGAAATCGAAAAAATCTACATACGGCTAGTATAACGCAAAACAGCGAGTATTCAAGTACTGCAATTTTTTAGTTGTTTACATCATTGCCTTCATGGTATAGTGGTAAAGACTGTGGCCATCATGAGCGAAAATTGTGGACCGTTCCCAGGTAAAACTCTCGAAACTTTTCGTATACTTTTTCTTTATTTCTTTTTGCCATTATTTTTCCAAAAAAGTCTCTAAATCGCTCCTCCAAACAGCTGAAAACTCATATTTTGAGAATTTTTTGTAGGTTAGAACAATTCTGAGTCGATTTAACCAAGGATGACGAGAGATGAACAAGGATGAAGAGCTCTGAAGAGAATTCTTCTGTAGGGTGAAATCGAAAATATCTACATACGGCTAGTATAACGCAAAACAGCGAGTATTCAAGTACTGCAATTTTTTAGCTGTTTACATCATTGCCTTCATGGTATAGTGGTAAAGACTGTGGCCATCATGAGCGAAAGTTGTGGACCATTCCCAGGTAAAACTTTCGTATAATTTTTTCTTTATTTCTTTTTGCCGTTATTTTTCAAAAAAGTCTCTGAATCGCTCCTCCAAACAGCTGAAAACTCATATTTTGAGAATTTTTTGTATATTAGAACAATTCTGAGTCGATTTAACCAAGGATGACGAGAGATTAACAAGGATGAAGAGCTCTGAAGAGAATTCTTCTGTAGGGTGAAATCGAAAATATCTACAAACGGCTATTGTATAACGCAAAACAGCGAGTATTCAAGTACTGCAATTTTTTAGCTGTTTACATCATTGCCTTCATGGTATAGTGGTAAAGACTGTGGCCATCATGAGCGAAAGTTGTGTACCGCTCCCAGGTAAAACTTTCGTATAATTTTTTCTTTATTTCTTTTTGCCATTGTTTTTCCAAAAAAGTCTCTGAATCGCTCCTCCAAACAGCTGAAAACTCATATTTTGAATTTTTTTTGTATATTAGAACAATTCTGAGTCGATTTAACCAAGGATGACGAGAGATGAACAAGGATGAAGAGCGCTGAAGGGAATTCTTCTGTAGGATGAAATCGAAAATATCTACATACGGCTAGTATAACGCAGAACAGCGAGTATTCAAGTACTGCAATTTTTTAGCTGTTTACGTCATTGCCTTCATGGTATAGTGGTAAAGACTGTGGCCATCATGAGCGAAAGTTGTGGACCGTTCCCAGGTAAAACTTTCGTATAATTTTTACTTTATTTCTTTTTGCCATTATTTTTCAAAAAAAGTCTGTGAATCGCTCCTCCAAACAGCTGAAAACTCATATTTTGAATATTGATTTTGCCCGAAAAGAGATTCACCTCATGAGATGAGCAGGTCACAACAACGTACTTGTGTTTTTAATTTTACCCGAATTACAAGTCGTCCACTGATGGCTTAGTGGTATGTGATTTGGCCTGTCTAGATAAACGTTTGAGTTCAAATCCAGTTAAACTCATGTTTTGTGGCAGACTCACAATATTTTTTTCCCTGTATTTGTTCTGACTATTTTTTATTCTTTTTATATCTCTATGTGCAAAATCCGTTTACAAGTATAAGAAAATATTGCCATGTTGAACCTGGCTCGAAAAGATAAAGCTAATGATTCTATATTGTCAAAGAAAATATTGCCTTGCGATAGCAACTTCTAGTTTATAGTTGTGTCGATGCACGAAGCCGGCGAACGGCTAAGCTAGTAGAAAGTATATTAAAACACGGCTAAGGACGGCTAAGCATTTTTTATATCAAAATACGCATTAAAATATCCCTGTACCAAAACTTTTTGCATCAATAAGTGTTTTGAACATTTCTAAGTCGATCTAAACCGAAAAGTGGCCCGAAATTTTCTAAATTTCACTTTGGTTTAAAAGGCAGCACTTGCCTTGCGATGGTAACTTCTAGTTTTAATTGACACGATCCGCGTCGATCCACGAAGCCGGCGAACGGCTAAGCGTAGTAGAAAGTATATTAAAACACGGCTAAGCATTATTTATTTATAAATGCGCATTAAAATTCCCCTGTGCCAAAACTTTCTGCATCAATATCCGTTTTGAACCTTTCTCTGTCGGTCTATAACAATTTTTATTTCATTTTGCCCGAAATCAGATTCACCTCATGAGATGAGCAGGTCACAACAATGTACTTGTGTTTTTAATTTTACCAGTATTACAAGTCGTCCACTGATAGCTTAGTGGTATATCGTTTAGCCTGTCTCGATTAGCATTTGGGTTCAAATCCAGTTGAACTCATGTTTTGTAGCAGACTCACAATATTTTTTTCTTTATTTATTCTGACTATTTTTTGTTTTTTTTATACCTCTATGTGCAAAATCCGTTTACATGTATAAGAAAATATTGCCATGTTGAAACTGGCTCGAACAGATTAAGTTAATCATACCATATCGTCTAATTTCGCAAGGATTTAACGCGGCACTTGCCGTGCGATAGTAACTTCTTGTTTTAGTTGACTCTATCACGAAGTAGGCGAACGGCTAAGCGTGGTAGAAAGTATATTAAAACACGGCTAAGGACGGCTAAGCATTTTTTTATATCAAAATACTCATTAAAATTGCCCTGTACCAAAACTTTTTGCACCAATAGGTGTTTTGAACATTTGTAAGTCGATCTAAACCGAAAAATGGCCCGAAATTTTCTAAATTTGATTTGGTTTAAAAGGCAGCACTTGCCTTGCGATGGTAACTTCTAGTTTTAATTGACACGATCCTCGTGGATCCACGAAGCCGGCGAACGGCTAAGCGTAGTAGAAAGTATATTAGGGAGCTTAA